GGTGTCCTTCAGAGCCACACTTAAAGCAAGTGAGTGGGAGCTTCCTCTCTACTCCCTTGCCTATCTGTGGCTCTCGTCTGTGACACTGTCTACTGAATGACCAAAAACAATTAAAAACAGGCCTGAGGGCCCCAGATTAGAGTCACCCACCTTTGGCTTGCTAGCATCACTTTCTGTCCACTAGGCCAACTGAGATCTCTCTATGAAATGTTCTGATAGAGAAAAGTTTGAAATTGTCAATGACTTCATCTTACTTGGATCCACAATCAATACACTTGCTACCGGCAGTCAGGAGGTCAGAAGATGTATTACACTGGGAAAATCTACAGGTAGGGACCTCTCTAAATTATTAAGGATTAATAATGTCAGTTTAAGGACTAAAGTGCACCTAATTCAGGCCATCGTCTTTTCAGTCACTCGCTAGGCATCCGAGAGCTGGACAATGATTAAGAATGGCACAGTAATTGATGCCTTTGAATTGGAGAAAAAGGGCTGACTGTCCCATGGACTGCTAAAAGAACAAGCAAATATATGTCTTGGAGAAGATGTAGTCCGAGTGCTTCACGGGGGGAAATGACGAAGCTTCATCTCACCTCTCTCGACGTGTTGTTAGGAGAGGCTATTCATTGGAGAGGGAGATCATGTTTGGAAGACGGAATGCGAAGGAGAGGAAGACCCTCGACCGGGTGGGTTGACACAGTGACGGCAGCCGTGGGTTCAAATAGGTTAGGAATTGTGAGGATGGCACAGGACAGGACAGAGTTCAGATCTGACGTCCACAGGGTTTCTATGAGTCAGACTCCACTCGATGGCACCTAACAACAACAACAAAAAGCCTTTCTAAACTATAAGAGAATAAAAAGGTTTTGTGTTACATCATCCACCTGTGGTATGTCTATTACAGCAGTGCCAGAGACCGATATAGTTCTCTTAGGGTAGTGTTCTCAGGCTCCTTCAGTCCGGAGCAGGCTTGAGAGTCTGTATCCTTTAGGAATTTGAGTTCAGTTCTACATTTTTAATCTGATTTTTTAATATAAAATATTATCTTAAATTATTATGGAGAATTTTAATGAAAATTTACAGAAGCTTTGGAGTTCCTTTCATTCATTGTTGCACTTTTCTCCCTCCCCACCCCAGTTTGCTTTTCTCTTTGAAAAGTAAAAGAAAAATTCTTTCAAACTTATACAATCCCTCCCCCCCGCCCTCAAGTCCATTCCACTGTGCAGCCTTTGTTCTGGACTCCTGTCATGACAATAATACTTAATCACATATCCCTTTTTTTGGTAATTTTTTAAAATTTTAATAATTTTAATGAACATTTACAGAGATTTTGGATTTCCATTCATTCATTGCTGC